CACTGCGCGTGCTAACATACGTTTGCATATGTGCCATTTTCTTCAAAACTTATGAATGGCCCACTCTAATTTTTTCACAGGTTGTTAAGAATATGGTAGGCAATAAAATATATGAAAATTAGCCAAATCGAAGGTGACGTGTTGTTTGCTATTTCAATTTTTGTGCTTAAGAACAGAGTTAAGCAAATTTCAAGGTCATATATTTAAGTAGGTGCAATTCTAAACAAATGTTTAAGAAATTACCTAAACAGTAAGGTTTATTTCATTCAAATCAAACAAGTACCTACAACCAAAGTTATGGTCGTTCAAAAATATAAAGATGCAACATTTTGTAAAATTCGATGCCCTATATTTAGAAGACCTGTGGTCGGAATGTGCAAAAAAACATCAATGTAATGTTCGGGGCGACACAGGAACTCGCTCACAAATTTATAATGAAATCGCTGATGGTAAGGTGCAAAACAGCCGATTTTTGTTCGATTTGACGTGGAATGCCCCCGCTTCAACCCTTTTGACCGTATTGTCTAACGATGGCACTCATAATGCGCAAACCAGGAATCGGCCGCCGCCTATGCTTGGGGATAGGGACGGTTAGAATGATTTACCTGTATGGCCGCAGCCAGTGCAGCGTAACCGGGGGGGGGGGGGGGGCACAAAGGGCGCGTGCCGCCTCATTAGATGCATGGTGCCCTATGGGCCCGAGAGGCCCTGCAGTGCCAATTGGACGCTCAGGGTCGAAGCGTGCCTTATTTCGACTGAGATAAGACCCGCAGGATTCGTGAGAGCACCTCACGGAGTCACGGGCTCCTGAGTCGCCACACATCACACATCTCCATAAGGGCCCCACTCCTGCTTCTGAGGACCCTGTTCTGGCCTCTGAGTGCCCTTGCTGACCTATTAAGCGTCAGCTCAAATTAGTGCTAATTAGTGCTAATTAGTCCAACTGGACCCCTCCTTGCCATTTGGCCCCTGATCGAGATAGAGCTTCGCGGAAAAACGAGGGTGTTGCCCGTGACGAGAGGAAGCCGATGAATGATGATACCCAATTTTAAGGTCCTAGGTCATTGTTTGACCTTCGTCAGGGGCCGTATTCACGTCGATAATTATTTTCGTAAGAATTTCCTTACGAATGACCTACTTCTTAAGCAATTTTTTTTAAATCACGTGAACTCCGTCGATGAAAACTTAAGAAGTGTCGACGTGAATACCAAATTATACTTACGAAAGAAAATCGACTTACGAAGTCGACGTGAATACGGCCCCAGGTCAATGACCCAAAAGTTGGGAAAATCGGGACCTGTTAGAAAGTCGTAAAGTGTGGTTGCTGTGAGGTTATTCGGGGCGCTGATCACGAATATCGTGTTAGTTTTGATCACAGATGATGTCTTTAAGTATTTAGACCAGGTCGGGTCGGGTCAGGTCAGGTCACGCCACGTGCCAACCGCCTCTTACAGCTTCGTAGCATGTTACGAAGGCACCAAAACTATTTCGCAATTGTTAATGTTCAAGTGGTTGCTAAATTCGAATTCAGCTCCAAAAACTAGCCCAGAAACATGTAAAACTCGAAAAAGTGAACCGGGGTCACCAAAGGTCAATGACCTGACCTGACCCTCAGGTGACCTTGACATTCACTCTAATGCATGGGAGCAACATCGAATCACATGTTTGAACGTTTGAAACCACGAAAAGCTTGCAAACGCGCGGCTAATGCGAGCCGACATAAGCCGAATCGCGATTCCGGCTAAACATGACCTCGAGAAATAGGTCACAGGTCAAAGGGCACTTGGGTCAGGATCATGAAATTTTCAGAGTAGGCGTAAAATTGATCAACTCGAGGGTACTGAAAGTTTCGTCGCGATCGGCCGGTTTTTGCGCGTTATTCGCGAAAAACCATGCTCGACACATTAAAAAAAGAAATAAATCTAGTCCGACCTTTTGATAGGAAGGATTCACAAGGACAGAGCCACCGCTAAGCGAAGCTTGTTGTGGTGACCCTGCCCTCTACCCTCCGATTGCGCAATGCTAGTTCTATGGCAGAATTTAGAGTCCAAAGTTTAACGTGCGCACATAGCCGCGCACGGCCGGTCCCCTCACTGACTTCGCCTGGCTACGGCCTGCCACCAACCGCAACCATACCTACCTTTTTTATTATAAATTTAGTCCGAACCTTTTGATAGGAAGGATTCACAAGGACAGAACCCGCTAAGCGAAGCTTGTTGCGGTGGTTGCGGTGACCCTGCCCTCTACCCTCCGATCGCGCAATTCCAGTTCTGTGGCAGAATTTAGAGTCCAAAGTTTAACCCTATTAGTGGCAGGCTCCTGGCTACCCCTATTAGTGGCAGGGGGGGGGGGCTGTTTACGACCCCCCCCTTGATATCTCAAGATCTAACGGGCCGATTTTCAAAATTCAAACGGCATTCGATTTCGCTCAACGTGATCTACATTTCTAAAAAAATAAAAATTAAAAAATGTCAATAGGGGGGGGGGGTAGAGGGGGGGTAAAAACGGGCAAATTGCAGATACATTTTAGACTGTTTATCACGGCCAGGTTTCTGAACCAATCTTAACGAAACTTTTGCCAATCGATAGAGAATGAACCACGAATTCACATGGATCCTAAAAATATGCATTTTCAAAAATCATAGGCGGATACAGATCATTGAGATTGGGGGTACACAAAAAGTATAGTAAATAAGGTTTTTGTTGGTACTGTTTCTAAAAAGGGTGGTAATGGTCTTGTAATGTTACAATTTTCTTATGAGAGAACGACTACAATTGTATTGGTCATGCATAGGCGGTGTCAGGGCACCTATGTTGGGAGGTAAAACATAACCCCCCTTTTTGGACGCCTGGATCCGCCTATTATAGCAAAAACGTGTCAAAAGAGGATGCACAAAAACTGTATATGTTATCACATGATACCTTTCATTCACTGTTCGTAAAACTGGTGCAGCATCGTGATCTTCGCCCAAATGACTCGCTTCACGAATAGGACCCCCCAATTCCCAATGCTCTGGAGCCGCCCCTGGTAAAGTTATGAACTTGAAATTTTCAGGGAATGTGCCCAATTTAGTTTTAGGAAAAGTCAGAAAATTTCAGCATCGTAGCTTCAGCGGTTTCGGAGATATTCCCGAATAACCTGAGGGGTGGATAAAAACTAATAGGGTTAACGTGCGCGCATAGCCGCGCACGGCCGGTCCCCTCACTGACTTCGCCTGGCTACGGCCTGCCACGAACCGCAACCATCCCTGTCAGGAGGCCCATAAATGTCAAGCGCCCGTCGCGCTTCGAACCCGGAATGTTATAACCGGGAACGCGTGCTCTCACCACGCGGAGTCCAACGCTCTACCAACTGAGCTACGGGTCCGGCTACCTGTCAGGAGGCCCATAAATGTCAAGCGCCCGTCGCGCTTCGAACCCGGATTGTTATAACCGTGAACGCGTGCTCTCACCACGCGGAATCCAACGCTCTACCAACTGAGCTGCGGGACCGGCATGCGAGGGAGCGAGGGATAAGTTTCATTGTGAAAATATTTTTATCACAAATTAATGCGAACGCTTGATTGAGCAGTGTATGCAAAGGAAGCGAATTTTCAGTTGTGGAGGAAGATGCTAAAACAACTGACAAGACCAGAGTCAAAGTTATTCGAATATAAGTCCGACACCCAGTCAACCTAAAAATGCGTAAAAGACGCATGTCAATGCTGATGAAGAAGCTGACTTGCCTGTAACATAAAACCCAGGCCTCAAATAAACACAGGCTCAATTGCCCCACCCCATCGGCCAAATAACCCTGCTATCGGGGTAATTTGGCCGCTTTGAAGACCTTTGTAAAACGTCAATATTTGAGTATAAGTAGTTACTAGTGGTGTCATTTTCCAAAAAATGTCTGACCGATACCGACCGAAACCGAAATTTAGGAAAAATTTCCGACCGAATACCGACCGATAACATCCCAAGCCAAAATTTGACCGAAATTTGACCGAAATTCTATTTGCTATTACTCTACCCCAAAATTGAATTATTTGGTAAATTCTGATTGAAACTATTGGGAAATGGCATTTCAGTCCAAGTTCAGTCAATTCTTAGCCACTGCAAAATACATTTTGTGGTAGAAGTTACTTAACAGTTAAAGACTGGAATTGAGTTTCACAATGGTGTTTATTTGTGGGGCCAAGTGAGTCAAAATCAGCCTGCTTGTGGTTGTGGTTGGGCAATTGGTGGCTGCTGCCTAGTGCTGAGTGGGATGGCTACTGAAGTTGCCAAAAGATGGCATCCCTTGTAGCATTTGGGGGAAATTGTGCAACTTTATCATTAACATCCCAATAACTTCCATTTTAACTAGGCAAAAATGGAATACTTTATCTTTTTATCTTTTTGAAAATGGTTTCACTGACAGGGTGACCGAAAGTGTCCGATTTTTGGGGGGCCTGACCGACCGATTACCGAATCGGTCAGCATATCTTTTCGGTAACCGATTTTTTCGGTAACCGATTGACACCACTAGTAGTTACCCTATCAATTTCAGTTTACTGTACAGGAAAGTAAAATGAATGCGACACCTACCAGCGTTGAGAGAGTGTAGAAATATGTTGCTAATTTCGAGCTACTGCGCTTCCTAAAAAAGCGGCCAAATTGCCCTATCCTCCCCTAGTCTCTTTTTTCAATTGTGATGCTTACCCCTTACTTTCTTTCTATCTTAGAGGATGGAGTTGTGTCAAAGGTGTCTCTAGGCATCGTCCGATCGCCAAAATAATGGTTGAAATTAATTCCTCGGGTCAATGCGTAAAATGCATTGAAGCAACCCGCAGTCTCGGGTTACTCAATGGTTGCACTTGCCTTGCCCCCTTTCTTTCACCTTTCATGTCTACTAGAGTAGTTACTACCAATGTATTGTTCCATATGCATGATGACAGGGTTGCCCTCATATCTTAAAAGCTGTTCGCAGCTCCCAGGCATAAGGCGCCAATTGTCATTAAATTTTGTTTTCTGCTTTTCAGGGACCACTCGACGCCTGTCTATGATGCAAAGCGCCCAGTGTCTCAGGATGCTGACTGCAGGGTGCCGGCTCCAGAGAACATGTGTCCGCCACATCCAGGCCCAAGTGCAGGCCTTTTTGGGCAAAGTCAGAGCTGATGAAAGACCCTTGCTTGTGACGTTGGTGAAAACTGATGCCCAAGCACTGCCGCTCAGCGTTCCACAGGCTATGTGAGTTTAACCAGGGATTGACAAAGGGTGGGGCACTGTGGCATGTTCCCTTTGGGGGATAACGGAGCACTTTGAAGGGATAAATCATGGTCTCTCGTAGAGCTTCATCTTTCTAGAATTTACAGCTCTCCCATTGGGACAGACTTCTTGACTGTTATGCCCCAGGGCTCAAGGACTAACTTAACTAGTAACTATAGTTCGTTTTTTTTAAGTTCTGCCCACACTGTCAACTTTTCTTGAAACACAGCATAAGAATTGCTAGCTGAATTACTGATAAGACTGGTTGGCGCACATTGATTTCAGACGATCAACTTTTATACAAAAAAAAAATTGCCTGGCTCCTATTTCCTATACTCTCAGCTCGTATTTGCCTATATTTACAACTTCACAGGTATAGACCACTTGTCAAGGATTACAACTGAACTGATGAATACATTGCACGACATTTTACGGGACAGTACATCATCGTTGTTCAAAACTTATTTGGAAAATATTATTACGGAGCGAGCGAAGCCAGCGTAGTTTTTCGTAGGTTAACGGATATTTCTGAGTATGAGCGTGGTCACGCTTTTGCGAAGCTTATATCTCCGCAGCCACTTGACCGATTTACATGCGGTAATTTTTGTGCGGTAGCTTCATTCCTTCTACCAAGCATTGGACTATTCCCGATGAATGTGGGTGACCCCTTACGCACGTGCCACCGGCCACGTGCAAAACAGAGAGTTGTCAGTTTTGTAACAACGGCAATGTCTCGGTAACTACTGGGCCGATTGCGCTGAAAGCTGGCACGTAGGTAGGCACCCACTAGGCAGCGCATATCCATTTGCCACGGCTGGGGTGCTGCTGCACGTGCGCACGTGCACGGGTTGATTCCGGTTCTCGAGAACGGCTGAACCGATTACGCCGAAATTTGGTACATGGTTATGAACCGGTTAGCAGGGTTCAAAAGTCAGTTGGGACCCATGGCACGTGCGCACGTGCAGGGACCAGGGTGCCGCTTCCAGATTTCGAGAACGGCTGGGCCGATTGCGCTCAAATTTGGCACATCGCTAGGAACCAGTTAGTAGGGTGCTGTGCACAAGATTCTTACAGATAAGGTTTGGACGCTAGTCACGTGATCCTTCTCCCTGCTTTTCCCAACCCTACTCACGATTTTCATAAGCCTTGATCTATTCTTGAAACACTGCACAGAGGCGTTTGTAGTTAATTTATTTACAAAAACTAATTCAATGATATTTGAAATTAACAAACACATTTTTAATGAGGTTAGTGCTTGTGCGAGGAACATGTTCATAAATAGTAGAAATGTGAATGTGAATGTTATGTGAATACTGGACGGATAGACACGTAAATGTGTAAAAGCCTGGACAGCATATGATAGTTGCTGGCATGCTGCATCTGTTATGCCTTGTAGACAGCTGGGTGACTTTGGACGAAATTATGAGAAATAATGGCGAAGGCCTGTAGGATGTTTTGTGTTATGGTCAGTCGGTATGTTAATACTTATTATTACATGGCTCCTGTGTTAATTTGGCATGAGATATTTTTTACTATTGCCCGGCATCAGGTTACTGACCTTTCAGTGTCAGGTTACTGACCTTTCTGAAGGTGAGAAGCGGTTGCCATGTCAACGGTCAATAGTAAGTTGCTCGCGCAGTGGTGTTTGAACAAAAATTCAAATGTCGTAATTTTATCGTCGTTTTCTCAGACTGTTCAGTTTGATTTCGTGGTTGGCTAGTCAAGTCATCAAGAACTGGGCCGTCATTTGAACATGTCCGTTCAAATACCCCGATTTAACTTGTTGGAGCCGCATGAATTGGATGAGCTATTTTCATCGCGCAGGGCTCAGGGCACTAAAAAGGTGATTAAATCAGCAGAAGACGTCTTCATTGAGTTCTTGCAAGTAAAAGGCATATCTGTTGAAAGCTGCATGCACAGCAACGATGTTCTGGACAACGCTGTGAAGGAGTTCTTCATTACTGTAAAACGCAAGGACGATGAACGCTACAAATCGAAGAGTCTCCTCAAGTACGGCGTGAAACAGTCGAGCCTCAGACCGGCGGCGGCCAGCTCTTCACAGGCTGCATCTTCAACTTAAACATGTAAAGCAACTAAGTGTGTGCCGTAGACATGTGACGTGGCTATGATTGTATATCCAATACATTCAATTGTACCATGATATTTGTGTTTGGATATTTTTTATTACGGGATGAATGAGTACTAAGTAAAGATTCCGAGAGTTGGCCATGTAATAAAACGAATACTGCATGCGGGAGCGGGCAATAGCAAAAATATTGCCCTCTGTAACGTCACTGTCGCCCTCGGGTGAAGACCGAAACAAGTGCTATTGCCCTCGGCTTCGCCTCGGGCAATAGCACTTGTTTCGGTCTTCACCCTCGGGCGACAGTGACGTCACATCGGGCAATATTTTTTGCTATTGCCCGCTCCCCCATGCAGTATTCGTATACTTATCTCGTACGGCTGAAACTATGTGTTTTGAAAAATAGGTGCCCTATGTGATGCTATTTTTGCTAGCCAAATATTTCATGAGTGGTGCGAGTGAGCTAGTGGGCACGATTCAACCATAAATTTTTGTTGAAAGGCAGTTGGAAATGCGGCAAATGGAAATGGTATCTTTTCTAATTTGAAACTGTTTGAAAAAGACCTGTGGTCGAAATATTACATTCTTTCAAATAAAGTATATATTTGTACAGCATTAGTTTTGGCAATTATCGAGGAAATAAGGTCATGTTTTTACATTTTCTACTATTTAAACACATTTTTACTCACAATCTCAAACAAAAGTTGACTTTATTCGCGTTTCATTAATTTAATCAGCTGGCAACGATCACCCATCGTCAGGGGCGTCGCCAGGGATTTTCGACAGAGGGGACGGATCGGCCGACTAAAAACCCGATATTAGGTATTGTTGCCGTACTTTTTGACTCGAGTATGAATCGGCGGCGCGCGAAGTTTTTCATAACCAATTGGCAAAACAGCTCCAAAACACCTTGATTTTGCAGCCCGTGTAACAAGTTTGATACCAGAACACCTAAGGTCTGGTCACCAAGTTAAGTAACTCTGCCTCTAAAAAAAATTGTGGTCCTTTAACCGTGTAACTCATTTCCTAGAAATTTGAAATTTTGTGTAGTGCAACTGCAGGACTGCGCGGGTCGGAGCCGGAGCTTGACAGCTCGTCAGCTTGACTTGACAGCTCTGGCCAGAGTCGGAGCTGGAGTCCCCGAGGTCGTTTGTATTTCGTCTCCGAAGTCAGAGTCGACATTTTCTGGCTTGAAGTCATGCTCTTAACCCGCGCCCGGCTGGTGGTCCTGGATTTCCACGCCCTGCTGGGGGGGTGGGGTGGGGGGTGTTTGAACACCCCCCCCCCTTGTAACTCGGCTCCTGGGCCACGTAGCGATACGCGGAAGGCGGCGTTCGAAAGAGCGTCAAAAATAATGACGAAATCACTTCGGGCAATTTTTTGGTCAGGTCAAAGGTCAGGTCACCAGAGGTCATTGAAGGCAAAATTTCGCCGATTTCCAGGTCGAATGTCGAAAATTTCCAAAAAGCCAACGCATAACTCGGGAACCAATAGAGCTACAGCGCCGCGGAAAAGCGCATTCGATAGCCCTATTAACGCCCTTTCTGAATAATTCTCTCAGATTTGACCTAACGTCAACGGTTTTGCCTCCAGGGGGCAAAAACTGCAAAAATAGCCGATTTTTTCGGAAACAGTTTTTCTGCAATAACTTTTGACCCAAGCCCTGTACAAGCTTACTTTTACCGGCATCGTGTTCCTCTCGTCAAGACGCATCGAATGAACTATACCTTGACCTTGAAAGGTCAACTTGAAAATTTGACCTCAGGTCAAGGTCATGACCTGACCGGAAAGGGTCATCTTGCATATCAGTCGATCCGTATCATCGAGCTGAACACATCTAAGGCGTTTTCATCGCTCTAGCATGCCTCTATCAAAAGTTATTTGCGAAAAACTGTTAGATACCATTCGTGACCTAAGATGACCTCAGGGCATAAACAAGGGTCACGGACACCATCTTCATGTTCAGTGTGTCTAAACCACTTGTAATTCGGTGTTTGGGAGTGTTTATAATGTCTTTCATCCAAAAGAGGCGCATTTCAATTTTCTCCCATTGACTTATAATGGGGAGGTCGCAAAATTGACCTGACCTTAGGTCATCAATATCAAAATTCTTAGATATACATTTTGTACATGTCATTGCTCTTACCAATCGCTGAAAGTTTCAAAGCAATCGGTCACTCGGTGTAGCTATGACAGACATTGAAACTTTTTATGAGGTGAGATCACTTCAAGTGACCTGGTGACCTGACCTTGAATGACCTTGGCCTGAAATTTTCACAACATGTGTAGAATTGATGTATGATAGGGGAGAGTGGGGAAAGATGCCCAGGGTTTGACTATGTCATATATTATCCGAAAATGACGATCGGAAAGCCAAAACTTGGAGTTTCGACGGAAGCCGACATCATTTTTCTCCAAAAATATCGCACTTTCGTGCCTGAAATATGATAACTTTTTTTGCTATTAAGCATTTTCCTGAAGAAGTGAAAGGGGGCATCTTACCCCACAGGGTGGAAAAGACGCCCCCTGGCGTTGGGTAAGATGCCCCCTGCACTATAAATGACATAAATAGGCACGTGAATCGCCTGAACGAATCAGTAGTCCCTTCGAGCCTGCAGTAGACACCAAACGTCATCGTAAGGGCCCTCAAAAGTAGTCGTAAGGGGCTTCAGAGGTCAACGTTAGGGCCATCATAGTCCAGCGTGGCCAAACAAGCCTCCGTGGTGGCGTTCGGAGACCACTGTGGGGCCCTTATAGGTTTTCATGATGCTTGAGGGCCCTCGAGCCCATCGTGGGGACCTCAGATGCCAGCGCGGCCCGTGCAGCCAACCTGGGAGCCCTCAAAGGATGTCGTGAGGGGCCCTGGAACCAATAATGGGGCCCACAGAGGCCGTCGTGAGGGCTCTCAGAGTCAGATGCCGCCCAAAAAGTCGCTGTGTGGGCCGAGAGACCGGCATGGGGAGCACCCGACCGCACCGGACTCTCAATAGTCCCAGATCGGCTTTTGTCTCTCATCACAAGTATTGAATAAATGATTTGACGGGCTGCTTGAAGGACAGCCTACGGATTTAGGGGGGCATCTTTCCCCATCAGGACAGGGGGCATCTTACCCCAAGGTACCGAAGTGACATTAAATCAGCACAATTTGTTAGCCTTAAAACTACACCCTGAAACAAACTGTTTGGGACACAGTACACGCATGTTAATGTATCACGACTATAGCAAGGGACGCAAAAATTATCTACCTTCTTTGATATTTACAATGTTTTGACGCCAAAATAGTTTTTGAAAGCAGCAAATAAAAAACATGCAATCACCAGCCAGCCGTTGCCCAACTGAGCTTCGCAAATTTTTGTGCAGTTAACAAGGCAGGCTTCCGCTTTACGCTAAGAACATTAATTTCCAGGTTCGATTCTTTGTTTCCCCGCTAGAGGGGGTGGGGCGTCTTTCCCACCCTGGGCATCTTACCCCACTCTCCCCTAAGGTGTACCAAAAACCACAAGGGGGGGGGGTGTTCAAACACCCCCCCAGCAGGGCGCGAGTTAAGTCTAACTGGTTAGTCGAAATATATGAAGCCGTTTTAGTCAGTCGTTTACCGTACACGTGGAATTCGTGGATGACGATATGAAAATTAGCAGTTTCGAAAGGACGGGGGGATAAGAGCTGGGGGTTCTGTTGGCCTTTGTGACTGGTGGACGGTGGTTGTATAGGGGTCAGACCAATATAGGCCGACACTGAGCATTAAAACCTCCTGGACCCTCCCATACCACACACCGTTCCGTCATTTTTATCCTCAAGACAGTCAAATCCCTCTCCTCCACGCCTCAGCCCCTTGTTCCGGGCTGGACTGGCAACTTTATCCCTCGCCCGTATAGGGAGGGGGGGGGGTCGACGGACCTCCCTCGGTTTTTCGCGAATAACTCGCGTAAAAAGAGGCCGATCGCGACGAAACTTTGAGTACCCTCGTGTTAATCAATTTTACACCTACCCTGAAATTTTCATGACCCTGACCCTAATGACCTTTGACCTGTGACCTACTTTTCGAGACCATGTTTGGCCGGAATCGCGATTCGGCGTATGTCGGCTCGCATTAGCAGCGCGTTTGCAGTCTTTTCGTGGTTTTAAGCGTTCAAACATGGGACATGATGTTGCTCCCATGCATGAGGGTGGGTGTCAAGGTCACCGGAAGGTCAAGTCAGGTCATTGACCTTTGATGACCTCGGTTCACTTTTTCGAGTTTTACATGTTTCTAGGCCATTTTTTGGAGCTGAATTCGAATTTAGCAACCTTATAAATATTTACGAAGTAGTTTTGGTGCTTTCGTAACATGTTACGAAGCTGTCAGAGGCGGTTGTCACCTACTACGAATACCCTTACTGGTTGACCTGACCTGACCTGACCCGACCTGGCCTAAATGCATGAAGACATCATCTGTGATCAAAACTAACACGATATTCGTGATCAGCACCCCGAAAACCCCGTAGCAGCCACGCTTTACGACTTTCTAACAGGTCCCGATTTCCCCGACTTTTGGGTCATTGACTTGACCTGGAAGGTCAATTGATGACCTAGGACCTTAAAGTTGGGTATCATTGGCTTCCTCTCGTCACGGGCAACACGCTCGCTTTTTCCGCGAAGCTCTAGCTCGATCAGGGGCGAAACGGCAAGGGGAGTCCAACGGACCCCCTCCCCCCCCCCTATACGTTCGCGGCTGGAAAAACACCAATACGGGCGAGGGTTATCCCATGCGGCAACGCCCGGTAAGAGCACACCCGTAACCGGGTGCGGTGAGTGCTCAGGGGCTGGTCGGCCTGCCCTCTGGACGGGCTCAGCCCCGGCGACTCACCAGGGTGCTCGCCCAGACCAGTCCCCCCCCCCCCCCATCTAATTCCTATCATCCTTCCGGCTCTGAAATGGTCTCGTCAGTCCGAAAAGGCCTAACCCAATATAATAAATCCCAGACTGTGGCGAGGTCCTCTCACACCAGCATCAGGTCCTCTAAGGCCATTGTGAATTGGGTGAGCCCCTTCGGCTGTCGTTTTGCCTAGCACGGGAGGATGACCGTTTAAAAGTGGGGGTCTTGCTTGAGTATTGTGAATACTCTAAAATGTGTGGCTTATGCAGCTGTCACCCCACCCAGAGGATGGGCGCAAAATGACCTTAGTAGTCGGCGCGCCCTAAAGCCCCAATTAACAAACAAACAAACAAACAAACCACCCAGAGGGCCGAACTTCAGCCCTTGGTGGGTGTACCCATGGGTGTACTTACCTGAGCCGCTGAAGTGCCTAAGTTCGCCATTGTACGGTCGGACTGACCAGCATCAGTATGCCTTTAAAAAGGGTTTATTTCTGTTTACATGGCTCCATTGTGAATGACCGTTGCAAATAGTCACTTTTTAAATAATTTATTGGTGATTTTTGGAGGGGACGTCCCCCCGGATTCCTCGACTGGGGGGACGCGTCCCCCCGTCCCCCCGCTTTCGACGACCATGCCCATCGTCTTCGATGTAGTCGAACTTGGCGCACTCGGATAGTGTTCGAAATTTGCGACGCTTACTTGTTGCTATGGCGACCGGGCAGTACCTACACTTTTCATTCGTCTACAAGTGCTTGCGGAGCTGCCGCTCACACTTTTGAACACAGTCTTTATACGTCAGTTTGTGTGACGCGTCATATCTGAAACATGTTTCGTGAGGCTCCAAAACCATTCAATTCATGTCTTTCAAAAGAAGTGTTTACTGTTTTGTAACATTTTCGATATATTTTTTTGGCTAAATTGCTAGCTCCATTCATCCTATCTTGCGTGAGGATAGTCATCACTCGGGGACCAGTCGTTGAAAGCAAGAAACAACGACGAGGAGAAGGTCTTGCAAAAAGTCGCAGCGATTGCATTGAGCATTAACCCGCGCCCTGGTGGGGTCTGTTTATAACGCGACCTGGTGGGGGGGGGGGCTATTTCCCCCCTCATATCTCCAAAATTACTGGACGGATCCGCAAAATTCAAACGGCGTTCGAAAAGGCCTGTCAAATTTGTCGAAGGAAACCAAATTTGATTGACCTCGGGGTCGCCGATGACGTCACAGGTCAGCTCAAAGATAAAATGTTTCACCGTTCACGGGTCTTCTAGGGAATGCGCTATAACCCCGAGGAAAACGCATTTTGTCGAGAATCAGCGATAGGGCGTCAGTTGCCTAGTAGGTACATACATATGTTGCTATTAGAGGTCACTGACAATACCAGGTCAGGTCACAGGTCAGGTCACCAAGGGTCAGCACATGAACCCAACTTTAGTAAGGTTTTGATATGTATGTTTTATGGCCAATTTCTCATTTCCAACTCAATGGTGTTGGTTATAAGACCATCAGGTACGGCTTAGGGCACTTTCTGGTGAAGGTCAGGTCAAGGTCAGGTCAAAAAAGGTCAAATTTTAAAGTTGATAGTTTTGCATAAAATGGCTATTGATTCGATGCAGCTCGTGACGGGGAGTCTAATGGTCGTCTTTCTTTTGCGCTACGGGGTCTAGCATTGCTAAAAATTGAGTTTGAAAATTTGACGTCATTAATTTTGAACAGTTTTTTCCTATAACTTGGCCAAGAAGAGGTATGCCATCTCAAATTTATTATGTGGATGGAAGGCGGTAAGGACTATCAAATATATTCCGGGTTTTTCGAAATTCAAAAAAACTTTTTGGATTTTTCGGCTGTTATATTCAATTCTTTTTTATTTTTGGGGGTCAAAATCCAAAAATTTCAGAATTCCGAGACAGCAGTTTTGTAGCCCTGTCAATTCTACAGCTTTTATGTCTATCATTTTTCGGTATTTGCAAAGCTATAGGCCTGACAGCTCTTCCCGCGAAACCTTTTTATTGTCGAAAACGGCAGAACATGACGTCACTCTGACGTCATTTCCGGCCAACCTATCATAGCCTTTGGAATTTGTTTGGTCACAATGTGTAATATTGATGTCCGGGAGGGTACTGAAAGTTTGGTGATGATCGGCGCAGCGGTTCTGGAGATATATCGAAAAGTCTGGAGGGGGGGGGGCAAAAAATAGCCCCCCCCCACCAGGGCGCTATAGACTTGCTATAGAATTGCTATAGACTCTCCACCTCTGTAGGAATCAGCAAGGACCCAGCACCCCTGGCCACCCTACACTCCGGATTTTTCCTGGCTCAACTTCAGCCTCTCGCCCAAAACAGCTCAAGAAGTCGCGAAGCGAGCTCTAGACCCTTGATGACCTGAAGGCTGCTGTGAGTCGCCGAAGGTTTTGCCGATATAGGATGATCGACAGCCATCTGGGACGTGTGGCGCGGCACAAGCGGCCCGGACTGAGCTCCGCTGCGCATAGTGGGGAGGGAACTTTGAGCACCTCCTGTAGATAAACTAAGTGTCACAGCTGACTTTCTTTTATGAGATGTTAAATGTCCAATATTTAGCAATCTAACGGTGTGCTTTTTATGCACTAAAATACATGTTATGTTCCTGCCGTGGGGGCTAACTTAATGTCATTCTTTACTGATCACCCTGTAACTCTCCAAGAGACCCCATTCCGTATGCATGAATTGCTTTGTGTGTAAATCACTCATAGGCGGCGGAACGGGGAGGGCACCGGGTCACCGTGCCCCCTTTCATTTTGGCATTTTAACATTAGCCCTATAGGCGTTGCATGGAAAGAATGGGACCAAAAGTCGGCAGTGCCCCCCCCCCCTTAATTGAGGGTGTTCTGCCGCTACTGAAATCACTCTTACAAAATACAAATTAAATGTTTTACTGTTTACTACTAAACTTGGGATGCTGCCACCTAACATGCACGCTATTTTTTTTCAGGAAGGTCCTGCGGCTGGATATATGTCGCAGGATATTTTGCGATTTGAAGGATGTAAATCACGTGCAGCTCTGGGGATTTTACAACGCATCACCAAAGGTAAGGAGATGTAGATGTGATGCATGGCTGGCAATTTCTCGGCTCATTTAGTGGAGCTCTGGATGTCTTAGCTCGTCGTTCGCTGCTGATGGTAGTGCCGGTGGCGGTGAAGCAGGCCAGCTGGTGTCGGTGTGCGGGACGGGGCAGTCGGTGTCCGGGCCGGGGCAGTCGGTGTGCGGGCCGGGGCAGTCGTCGTCCGGGCCGGGGCAGTCGGTGTCCGGGCCGGGGCAGTCGGTGTGGGCCCCTTTAAGATAGCACCGGGCCCCCGGGTCAGCGCAGAGGCCCCTTTGCCAAGTTGCCCCCCCCCCCAAACGCCAAGTCTGCGACCGCCCCTGTCCGTTTTTAGTAGTTTTCTCCAGAAAGGAACGCGAAAGATATGAACAGTTTGAACACGGTACCTACAGGGTGATCAATAAAGAATGACATTAAGTTTGCCCCTATGGGATGAACATTAAATACATTTTGACACATAAACGGCACACTAACTTTATGTCACTAACTAACTTTATGTCATTCTTTATTTATCACGCTGTACCTAAATGTTTTGCTTTTGCGTCTTTACATTGTTAGCATCTGCGGATAGCAAAATCCTCCTTCATTTGATAGTGAACACTCAGCTCAAGTGTTTTTTTTTTCAGACAGGGGACCTGGAATCTGATTTTTGGATGAGCCTGAGGAGCGTGGGTGTCCCAAAGCCACCAACTGTGTTCAGGAATAAGCAGCTGGAACTGCTGGAGGACAGGTAAGGTCAAGCGGCCGGCCAGGCTGCCCACAAGGACAAATACCTACAGGGTGTTGCAGGTAAATTGGGACTAAGTTCATGACCTTACAAAAAATTTGCTATGCGGAGGAACATCATGGAAATTTGACACAATATAATTTCAACAATTGTTTTTCATTTGATATTGAAATTTTAATCCTAACATATCGCGCAGTCATGGAGCAGCGTCGGAGGGAAACGATTGGTGAGTTAGTTCGCGCCGGACAGAGTGCGAAGGACATAATAAGTTTAACTGGGTACCCAAAGTCTACCGTGTACCGAACTATCGCGACCGTAGGAGCTGGAGGGGATGTCGCTCGACGTTCTCACACACCTCGCAGTGACCGAAAACGGACACCAACATTCCTGAGCGGCTTGAAACGCTCGATTCAGGCCAAACCGAGGACCACGATGAACAAGCTTGCGCGTGCCCGTCACGTGAGCAAGAGCACCATCAGCAGAGCCGTGAGAGAGGACCTCGGGATGAAGTCGTTTACCAGAAAACGACGAAGCCTCCTGACCGAACCAGCAAGGGCGATGCGAAGGGAGAGGGCACCGAAGGTACTCAATCTCCTCAAGCACCTCGGGAGTGACGTCAGGGTATTTGTCGATGAGAAAAAGTTCATCGTAGAAGAGGTCGCCAACCGCCGGAACTCGCGGGCTATCGCCTACAGCCCTGATGAAGTGGCTCCCGTGATGAAAGGCAAAAATCCGGCATCAGTGATGGTATTCGGGGCCGTCGCAAGTGATGGCCGCATAATGCCGCCCCATTTCATACCTGCTGGTGTGATGATCGACACTGACGCGTATTTGACCATCCTGAAGGAGTCTCTCATCCCCTGGATGATGAAATACTATGACCTGAGCAAAGTCATGCTGGTGCAAGACTCCGCCCCAGCACATGCTTCCCAGAGGGTGCAAGATTTCCTGAGCCAGAGGATCCCCCTTTATGTACCCAAGGACATATGGCCCTCCAACTCGCCTGACTTGAATCCATGCGACTTCTGGATGTGGGGCGTGGTAGAACAAAAGTCCAACTCGACCACTCATGCCAACGTTTCTGACCTGAAGAAGGCCATCAGGAAGGCAGTCAGCACCATTGACCAGGACGAGGCCCGGCGCGCGTGCTCCGCTTTCCGGCGCCGTCTCGAGAGGGTGCGGGACGCCGACGGCGGTCACATCGAGTGACAAGGCTGTGCGTACATGACACAATACACGTGCGAAGTTTCAACTTTCTATGTTTTCATTCACCGTATTAATAGCATGTTGAAATTAGGTTTGAAAATTCCCAATTTACCTGCAACACCCTGTACATGTCGCTCGCTTTTCAATGGTTTATCTGGTGAACCTCAAGAAATCAATATAGCAAATAATTTCTGAGCAAAACATTAAAGGAAATAGTTCACTTTTAACATGGGGTTTTGAACTGGAATAGCAGTTTTGTAGCTTGAATTGAGACTAGCACAAATCAGGAGCTTTTACGGCCCAACGATCACCCTATAGGCGAAGATATTCCATTGCTCGTTCCATAAAGAGTGCCTTGCAGAGGAATGTGTGCCTTGCTGAGGAATGCAGCCACGTCATCGTCAGCCAATCAGCATGCTGCTGGATTTGGGTTGGGCTTGGGATGGGTTGGGTCCAATGGGTTTGGACTACGCAATATGATTGGTCAGTGCATAAGAAGCTTCCGTGTCAAACAATGTTTTATATAGAAGATAGTTCTTGCTTTATTAAAATATAGAAAATAATCTCTTTTATATAAAGGTTAATTTTCTTTGCTGATCATTTTAAGCATAAGAATCATAAATCCACTGCAAAAAACTAATTTCGGGAAAGTGAACTATTCCCTTTAACCCTATTCCTGGCGGGGGGGGCCTCAGGAGCCCCCCCCCCCTGAGGTTTTTTGGTTATTTCTCCCAAACGCGTTGAGCTAGGAAGCTCAAATTTTCTGACTTTTCCTAAAAGGCTTCTACGCAACATGTCTGAAAATTTTGAGTTGATTTGACCTCAGGTCAGGTCACCAGAGGCGGTTTGGTGACCCTACCTCAGAAAAGTTTGCAATCACGCCAGAGCTAGAGTTTTTGACCGATCAATTTCTTCTCTTCAGGCTTTAGTTAGGGTACCAGTATGTGCAAGTTGTATATCTCGGAATTGTGATATCGGTGACCTAAGGTCAGGTCAGTTTCGCGACCTCCCCATTATAAGTCAATGGGGGAAAATCAACTCCCTGTTTTTACCACTAAAACGGGTCGGAATGGCCCCATATACCATACATGACTTCATATACGATCAACCTTCACTACCTTGAGGTCTGTTTTGCTGTTGGGCAGCTGTGAGGTCATGTGACGTCATCAAAGGTCACCAAAGGTTTTTGGCCAATAACTCCGTACAGGAACAAGATACAGACGCGTGGATGGTCTCATTGTGTTCAGCTCGTCAAGACGCATCGAATGATATACATGATGACCTCGAGGTCACGTGACCTGAGGTCAACCTTTGACCTTGACCTTTCGAGGTCAACATATATATCATTCGATGCGGATTGACGAGAGGATCACGATGATGCCCTTAGTTTGTTCCTATCTTGACTAATTCGAAAGTTATTCGAGAAAAACTCGCTCCATATCTAGCGCCGCCATTTTGACTTTTTCGACCCCTGTGACGTCATCTTTGACCTGACCTGAAAATGACCTTAGTAAAAATTGTAGATCTTGACCGTGCGTATCCGATGCCGTTTACCGTTTGTCGCTGCGATGTGTAGTTTTTGAGATCTGAAGGGGGGGGGCCGAATCGGCCCCCCCCCGCCAGTTTCTTGTCCCGGCGGAGCCCGCCAGGAATAGGGTTAACCCGCGCCGGGCCGGGGGGGGGTGGTGTTTTAACATCCCCCCTCCTGTTCGTGCATCTTTTCCGCACATGTTGTAAAAATTTCAGACCCAGGTCGCCTTAGGTCAGGTCACCAGGTCACGCCAAGTGACCTAACCTCAGAAAAAATGAAAATGCTCGTCATAGCTACACCGACTGAACCATTGCCTTGAAACTTTCAGCGATTGATAAGAGCAACATTATCTATAAAATGTTGATCTCGGAATTTTGATATCGGTGACCTTAGGTCAGGTCAATTTTGCGGCCTCTCCATTATACCTACCTGTAGTAGGTAAGTCAATGGGAGAAAATTGAAAAGTGTCTGTCTTGCACGAACGTTATTCTAGACACTCAAATATCGAGATGTAGGTGAAATTGACACACTGAACCGGAAAATGGCAACTGTGACCCCCCGTTATGTCCCCGAGGTCATCTCAGGTCACGAACAGAATCTAACAGTTTTTCGCTAATAACTTCTGATAGTGGCGTGCTAGAGAGCTGAAAACGCCTTAGATGTGTTCGGCTCGACGTTGCAGATCGACTGATATGCAACATGACCTTTTCCGGTCAGGTCATGACCTTGACCTGAGGTCAAATTTTCAAGTTGACCTTTCAAGGTCAAATTATAGTTTATTCGACGCGTCTCGACGAGAGGAACACGATGCTGCCAAAGTAATGTCATGGATCTTTTGAGTCAAAAGTTATTGCCGAAAAAACGCCTTTCGTAAAAACGGCTATTTTTGAAGTTTTTGCCCTCTGGAAGCTAAACCGTCGACCTGAGGTCAAATCTGAGAACATTACTCAGAAAGGCCTGTAAAATGGCTATTAAATGCGCTTTTCCGCGGCGCTGTAGCTCTATCGGTTCCCGAGATAGCCGTCGGTAGTTTCCAAAATGTTGAAATAGTCAACATTTTACCTTTGGTGACCTCTGGTGACCTGAACTTTGACCTGACCCAAAAAATGACCGAAGTGTTTTCGTCCTTATTTTGGACGTTCTTTCGATTGCCGCTTACCGCGTGTCGCTACGTGGCCCAGGAGCCGAGTTAGGAGGGGGGGGGGGGGGTCCAGACAGGAGACACCCCTCCCGGCCCGGCGCGGAATCTCCGGCCCGGCGCGGGTTAACCCGCGCCGGGCCGGTGCTCCGCGACTATGTGGTAAGCGACATTCGAAAGAGCGTCAAAAATAGTGACGGAAATACTTCGGTCATTTTTTTTGGTCAGGTCAAAGGTCAGGTCACCAGAGGTCATGAAACGTAATGTAGTCCATTTCAATAATTTTGGAAACTGCCAACGGCTAACTCGGGACCAATAGAGCTACAGCGCTGCGGAAAAGCGCATTCGATAGCCCTTTTACAGACCTTTCTGAGTAATCCTCTCAGATTTGACCTCAGCTCAACGGTTTAGCCTCCAGAGAGCAAAAACTGTAAAAATAGCAGTTTTCATGAAAATGGGTTTTCGTCAATAACTTTTAGCTCAAGAGAGCCACGACATGACTTTTAGCAGCATCGTGTTCCTCTCGTCGAGACGCGTCGAATGCATTATTTGTTGACCTTGAAAGGTAATTTTGAAAATTTGACCTCTGGTCAAGGTCATGACCTGACCGGAAAGGGTCATGCTGCATATCAGACGATCCGTATCGTCGAGCTGAATACATCTGACGTGCTTTCATCGCTCTAGCACGTCTTTATCAAAAGTTATAGCCAAAAAACTGCTGGTGACCGTTCATGACCTGAGATGACCTCAGGGGCACACAGAGGGGTCACAGGTGCTTGGTGCAGTTTTCCGATTCAGTGTGTCATGTTTACCTTTAAGCCGATGTTTGAGAGGGTTTTGAACACCATTCGTCCAAAGGAGACGCATTTCAATTTTTCCCAATGACTTATAATGGAGAGGTCGCAAAATTGACCTGACCTTAGGTCACCGATATCAAAATTCCGAGATAAACTTTTTGGACATACTGTTACTCTTATCAATCGCTGAAAGTTTCAAGGCGATCGCTCAGTCGGTGTAGCTATGACGAGGATTGAAACTTTTTTTCTGAGGTGAGGCCACTTGACCTGACCTGGTGACCTGACCATGAGAGCCCTGGGTCTGAAATTTTCACAACATGTGTGGAAAAGA